CAAGCATGCAAGTATGTCTTCTTTGATTAATAAATTTATCGTATCATAGACTAATAAAGGCGGCCAGTGCAGTGAAAAGATCCGCTTAAACGGTTATGTGGAATTATGTGGGTGAGGGAAGGCTCAAAATAAAGAAGAATGGAGAAATTGCTAGCTGCATCAATGACGATAAGAAACACGACAATGAAGGAAGAGCTAATCAAAGTATCAAAATAGGTATTGAGAATTTCAACAAAGTGAATAATTTGATCAAAATCTAACTTGCCCCCTCCACCACGATCTTAAGTTCAAATCAAACTAGTTGTAGTAATTTCAGAACGAAACAATTTATTTACTACAAGATCAGGCTATCAGCGGTCGTCAGGGACGACGCATATTAATCAATGGTACCCGCAAGAAAGTAAACGACCATTCAGCGATCTCCGGAAAGGTGGCACATGTTTGCCAGGTAGTGAGTACGAGCTGGAAAATTTGCAGCCTAGGATCGAAAAGTGTAGAATACCTGCACTCAACGTGTACAGGCAATTCAGCATCACTAATAACATGAGATCCTTACACCGATTGTCCAGGTGGTCTTGATGTTCTTCATATAAGGTCAGCTACGGGACTAAAAGTTAATTTATTGTCCAATTTTGGTTTTGATCTGAAAAAAAATCCTGCTACTTCTAAAATGAAACCACAAGCATGCAAGTTTTTTTCAAGGGGCAGTGCGACCTTTAAAGAATTTGCATTATGAGTCAGTTCGTTGCTCTGTCCTTTCGTATTTATTTCTCTCTGTTTGTCCACTTCATCTGCTGGACTGCTGTTAATTAAGCTTGATTGGAATGTTAGTAGACTCCCTGGATTTAAGGATTAAAAAGGCATAGTTGGAACTCAAAATACAGTCTAGTTCTACAGTTAAAGTTGCCTCAAACAATTCAACAGCATGACATCTTGCGGTATACCTTAACATTTCATAAACCATATAAATTTGTGTCACACTGTACTGATGAGATCCAGCTATGGTACTGATACAATTCAAGCAGAACTTGATGGACCGAAACTTCCATATTTATTCTAGCTGCTTCTATTATATGGATGTATGCATCGGAAGATAGTATTTGAAACTCGAAATACTCTTCATCACGAGGATTAAATAGACTGTAAAATGGATTTAAGGATCAAAAAGACATAGTTGGAACTCAAAATACAGTCTAGTTCTACAGTTAAAGTTACCTCAAAAAATTCAGCAGCATGACTCTTATCGTATAACCTAACATTTCATATAACGATATAAATTTGTGTCACAGTCGCTGTACTGATGAGATCCAGCTATGGCACTGATAACTTGATGGACCGAAATTTCCCTATTTATTTTAGATGCTCCTATTATATGCATGTATGCATCTGAAGATAGTATTTGAAACTCAAAATACTCTTCATCACGCTTTACAGTTACATTTGCCTGAATTTGCTTTACGAAATCCGTATCATAT